CCGGGTAAGCTACGTCAAACACAGCTGTGTGCTCTTTTAGGGTAGCCCCAGTAGGCTACATCAACACAATGCTGTCTCCTCTTTAAGGGTAAACCGAGTAGGCTACATCAACATAATGCTGTGTGGTCTTTTTGGGTAAAACCGAATAGGCTGCATCAACACAATGCTGTCTCCTCTTTAAGGGTGACCTCAGTAGGCTACATCAACACAATGCTGTCTGCTCCTTTAGGGTAGCCCCAGTAGGCTACATCAACACAGTGCTACGTCTTCTTTAAGGGTAAACCAAGTAGGCTACATCAACACAGTGCTAATGCTGTCTTCTTTAAGGGTAAACCGAGTAGGCTACATCAACACAGTGCTGTGTGCTCGATCTTTTACGGTAACCCCAGTAGGCTACATCAACACAGTGCTGCGTCTTCTTTAAGGGTAAACCGAGTAGGCTACATCAACACAGTGCTGTCTGCTCTTTTAGGGTAACCCCAGTAGGCTACATCAACACAATGCTACGTCTTCTTTAAGGGTAAACCGAGTAGGCTACATCAACACAGTGCTGTCTGCTCTTTTAGGGTAACCCCAGTAGGCTACATCAACACAATGCTACGTCTTCTTTAAGGGTAAACCGAGTAAGCTACATCAACACAGTGCTGTCTGCTCTTTAAGGGTAACCCCAGTAGGCTACATGAACACAGTGTTGTCTGGTCTTTAAGGGTAACCCCAGTAGGCTACATGAACACAGTGTTGTCTGGTCTTTAAGGGTAACCCGAGTAGGCTACATCAACACAGTGTTGTCTGGTCTTTAAGGGTAACCCCAGTAGGCTACATCAACACAGTGCTGTCTGGTCTTTACGGGTTAACCGAGTTGGCTACATCAACACAGTGCTGTCTGCTCTTTTAGGGTAACCCCAGTAGGCTTCATCAACACAGTGTTGTCTGGTCTTTGAGGGTAACCCCAGTAGGCTATATCAACACAGTGTTGTCTGGTCTTTAAGGGTAACCCTAGTAGGCTACATCAACACAGTGTTGTCTGGTCTTTAAGGATAACCCCAGTAGGCTACATCATCACAGTGTTGTCTGGTCTTTAAGGGTAACCCCAGTAGGCTACATCAACACAGTGCTGTCTGGTCTTTACGGGTTAACCGAGTTGGCTACATCAACACAGTGCTGTCTGGTCTTTTAGGGTAACCCCAGTAGGCTACATCAACACAGTGTTGTCTGGTCTTTAAGGGTAACCCCAGTAGGCTACATCAACACAGTGCTGTCTGGTCTTTAAGGGTTAACCGAGTTGGCTACACAACCACAACGATATCTGACTTTCTTTTCAATGACACCACGGGGTAACATCATCAAAATAAACATTGCCCCTACTGATATAACACATTGCCTTGCAGAATTTCTGCTGCTTAAAGGGCATGATTTGAACATGGAAATCAGAATGTGAAGACCTTCAGTAACAGTGGACAATAAGTAGAATTGTAGCGTTGCAATTGCAGTGTGAAAACTTGTTTCTGTTTTCTAAATCAATTGTAATTGTAGCATATTCATATTTGTCAGAAACTGGCATAAGAAATAGGCTTATACAATCAGGCTCATGTATGGACAGTTTCCAGGTTTTTGTCTATAATCAAATACAGTAGTCTTACTTCTCCAATTATTCAGAATGCGATTTTCTTTGGTCTGCTATATGCGCATACTGCATTTTAAACCAGTCAAATGTTCTAGGCTTTTTTTCCGGTGTGGACAACATTTTGAACACGTGATCATATTCAAGACTCTACACCGCATGCATTGTTTTAGTTGTTGGCGTGCTCGGAGGTGACATTTAGTCATTTGAAACTGAAGAAAGTTTTCTTTATTTCATAAATTAACACCTAAATTGTAGCCTTGCAGTGTCATGTCATTGTAAATCTGCCTGAACAACGAACACTTTTACTCTCACGTTTTGTACAACTTCATGAAACTAATGATCTCTTGACTGTGTGATCATTGAAAAGATGTCATATATGATCGTTCTATTTAGATCAAGTTTTGTCACAACTTCATAAGTTCTATAACTCTGGATCTCTTTGACAAGTAAAATGTTCAGTCTAAAGTGGGCGCCTTTCTGCTTATTCCCATCAATGCCTTTGAACTATTTTTCAGTTTTTGTAATTTTGTAATTTTGTAATCCGGAAAGATAGATGAGCAAAGTTCCTTTGTATCGAGTTGTAAACAACAAATAAAGTTGGAATGGAAATGTTGTTACAATCTATGAGATGTGTCGGATCGAGTTGAGGGCATTCAGGCAGTAATCTCTTGTGATTCATGATTATGTTCAGATTAACCAACCAATTAAGAAGTTCTGTACGTTCCATACCACTCGAACTATTTTAGTGCTTTATTAGATTCTTAAATGTAGTATATTGGTCATTTTATTTTTTGGCTGAACTCGTCAGTTGCCGCGATCCGCGTTAGAATTGATCTTCAGTAACCCATGCTTGGCATTAGCGGCGACTAACGGGATCGGTCGGTCAGGCTCGCTGACTTGGTTGACACGTCATCGTGTCCCAATGGCGTAGACCGATGTTCAAGCTGTTGATCACTGGATTGTCTGGACCAGACTCGATTATTCACGGATCGCCGCCATATAGCTGGAATATTGCTGAGCTGGTTGTCAAATTAAACCCACTCACTCACTGTAAATCCTGCTGGGATCCATGCATCAAGCAAAAGGTCCATGGTTGCTGGTATAGTGATCACCTGTAGTTACTGGCGATCTATAAGCTCTTTATATATGGTGTTAATGATTATCACTATATCGTTTTAAATTCTGTTACCTCCTTCCAAATTATAACTGTGATAGTCTAGTTATTATACTGTCCATCGATGACATGTTTTATTTTAACACTATATTTAGAATTTATATTTTACTTCTGGTCACAACAGGGCTGCAATATTGCCAATGTGACGTTACATTTAGTTTATATTTACGCCGTATTCTAGCAATGTCACGGCGGGAGATACCAGAACTGGCCTTCACACATTGTGCCCATGTGGGGAATCGAACCCGGATCTCTGGTGTGATGAGCGAACGCCTTAACCACTAGGCTAACCCCTCACTGTGCCACACAAAAATATCGTCATCTTAACCAGACGTATCTCTTAAATGTGAAAAGTGACACGCGCAAGTTATTAATTTGAACAGTGAATCAGTTCGAACGCTGAGAGATCAAATCAGTTTAAAACATACTCGGCAACTTGATTTAATACCTAAGGGCGCTTTTATCACCCCTAATGTTGTTTATGATGATTTTTATGATGATGCGTACTTTACCATCACAAATACATGTCGATATCGCCTGTGTCATCCATTACTCTGCTTGTGTCTTCACCAGTCATATTTAATACGTCTCTCATTTCGGTATATGGGCTGTTATCGATTCCGCACAAACCCCGTCATGCCACTATCAATAGAAGGCAGGGAATCGTCCCTCATTTCCTTGTGTTGAGGTGAGACGCCCTACACGAATATAGGGATCACTAACAGTCAGTTTGCTGAGGTTTATCTGGCAGATCATTTAGTCATGTTTCCCGGCACCTGCCCGTGTCGTTTGATTTCTTGTGCAGCTAATAGCTGATGCCATGTTCTTGTTTCGTGATCAACTGTTGTAAGACATCCACCACAACGGAACCGGATTGTTTCGCCTTGATACGAAGGACCCCGTACATTGCAGTTAGAGCAGGGTAGTCTAGTGGTGTGGGTTCGCTTGTCAGAAAACCCGGGTTTGATTTGTTGTTGGAAGGTGTGAACCCATTTATCGTATCCCGAATATTGCCAGAGGCTTGAAACCGTACTCACATCCCAGCACTAACAAGCTCTTGGAAACTTAATGGACTGACGTATTATGAAAGAAGCCTAATGTCCGTTTATGAGCGGATTTTCAACTATCAGTGTGTGGTCAGCTTCTCTTATCAACCAAAGAACGGAACCCCCAGGTGAACCATGATATAGAATGGTAAATTGTCCTAATGGCGTGGAGATTTCTTGCTAGCATTATTTATGATCATATGGTAAAGAAGCCTGTTCAAATCCAAACGGGGAGGTTTGCGATATACGCATGAAAGGCGTATTGCTTTCATCCACATGAAAAAAAAAATGAAAATAAGCATCTCACAGCTAATATTTATTCCCATCCATATGAATCTAGTGCATCATAATTATCTATTCGCGGACACCGTCTTGCGGTGCTCCAGTATAAGGATATCAATTACCAGCACCCAGACACACACCAGCTCTGTCCCTGAGGACAAATACCATTTTTTCTCACAGTTTTAATCGTTGGCATTTTAAACAAATATTTTTTCATCCCGGCAAACTATGTGTTTTGTAGGTAATTGAATAATTTGAATCATCTTTTGTCTTCCAGATTGACTTGTGGTGCATGAGGACACTCGTACCGATGTGTGATTCTAGAGCAGCCGGAAAGCGGCTTGTAACAGATATTGTGTTGCAAACAAGCGAAGAAACGCCTCCCAAACGGTGTATTTCAAACAATCACGGCATGCCATGCTTTAGTCGAGGACAAATACAGCTGTGATCTGCTTTGGATAGACATTCTTTGGTCTGTCTGATCTTCAATAGACAGGTGATCTTTTGTTCTGCGGAAGAAAGTGTGATCTGCATTGAATAAGTGATCCTTTGGTTTACGGACAAAAGTGTGATCTGCACTGAATAAGTGATCCTTTGGTTTACGGACAAAAGTGTGATCTGCACTGAATAAGTGATCCTTTGGTTTACGGACAAAAGTGTGATCTGCACTGAATAAGTGATCCTTTTGTTTACGGACAAAAGTGTGATCTGCACTGAATAAGTGATCCTTTGGTTTACGGACAAAAGTGTGATCTGCACTGAATAAGTGATCCTTTTGTTTACGGACAAAAGTGTGATCTGCACTGAATAAGCGATCCTTTTGTTTACGGACAACAGTGTGACCTGCATTCAATAAGTGATCTTTTGGTCTGCGGAAGAAATTCGGATCCACATTAATCAGGTGATCCTTTGGACTACTGAAGAAAGTGGGATCTACGAACAAAATAGTGATCTTCATTGGGAAGGAGACCCTTGAACTACGGTGGCAAGTGCTATCTACCAAGGTGATCCTTTTGTCCATGTAAAGTAGGTCATCTCTCTTCTAATACATACAAGTTCTCTGTTGAACATAATTGTGTGGCCAGAATGAAGAACATTGGAGTACAGTCGCTCAGTGGACGGTGTATTGCGGTGGTGCTGGTGGTGGTCCTCCAGGTGCAGGTGCACTGGGACGTGGCATCCGCTGGGAACATCACAGTGTTGGATAATTCAACGACACCGACATCCTTACAAGACAGTATTGTCACTGGTCCGGAGAGGACGTTTCAGCATCCGGATACAAACATTTCCAGGAATGAATCTGATATTGAAACAGCATGTACTAACTGTTCACTGAATGTAAGTGACGTTGATATTGAAACAAATAACACAAGGACGTACGATAGCAACTACAGCACAACAACAGAAACGGCAACAACAATGACAACAGAAACGACATCAGCAACAACATCAACGATGATAACTGAAACAACATCAAAGGAAGATTCAAAACAGACGTAACAGAGATCAAGAAAGACATTGATAACAGTTCCAGTATAAGTCATAACTTTACTAAGGAGTCTTTTGACCAGACTTACGACAATTCAACGCAAACTACCAACTCAACGTCACAAGCAAAGGAGGACAAGCCAGTTACGAGGACCAAGAAACCACGGCCTCATATGACAAAAGCGCAGTATGAGTATTTGGTACGACACTTCACAGGATTCATGCAGCATCTCAGGGTAGGGCATGCCACGCCCAACAGTTTAGGTGAGATAAAAACCGCGTATTTTCATTTTTCATGCTTGATATGAAAGAGAGTGTCTTGGTCTGCGCTTTGTTTCATATTGCAAGGCGCGGGGGCGGTGGGGTAGCCCAATGGCTAAAGCGTTCGCTCGTCACGCTGAAGGGCCAGGTTCGATACCCCACATGGGTACAATGTGCGAAGCCCATTTTGGTGTCCCCCGCCGTGATATTGCTGGAATATTGCTAAAAGCGGCGTAAAACCATACTCACTCACTGCAAGGTGCGCATTCATATTTTCATGTTTGTTTGCTTACGTTATTTCATTAGGTTGTTGTTTAACGCCACACTCAGCAATACTCCAGCAATATGGCGGCGGTATGTAAATAATCGAGTCTGGGCAAGACTATCCGGTGATCGACACCATGAGCATCGATGGCATGTCTCTACCAAGTCAGCGAGCCTGACCACCCGTTAGCCGCCTCTTACAACAAGTATTGGCTGGTGAAGACCAATTCTAACCCGGATCTTCAGCAACCGTTAGTTGTTAACTTTTTAGGCTGATTGTAATTTAGAACCATATCTGGTGTTAGAGCTATATCTGAAAAAAAGTCTTCTCCAATTAAGAATCTAGCCCCTCCCCTACACCGTTCAATCTCCTTCTGGAATATCATGTGGTCGGTCTCATATACAACAGAATGTCTGCACTTACCACTGACATTATCAATTAACGTATCATGTTTCGTTTCGACAAAGTCAGTAAGAACTCTTTTTTTTATTCCACTGTCACTGTGTAAATCGCGGGAACCATCGGCGTGAGGACATGCTTACCCACTTCGCGAACACCCGGTGTTATTGATTTTCAGTGATCCATTCAAATAACTTACCTTTAACGCCTGATGGAATCTGTCTCGGTGAATAATCGAAACTGGTAATAATCTGGCATTGACTTTTTACAGTTCATATTTGTATGACAATACACGTAATGTCAAATACATTGCATTCATTCGCTTCGATGAAATTCACAGTACTCCGGACATATCCAAACCTTTCTTTTCACTTTGAAAATAATCCAAAATTCTGCGGTTTGGGGATTAAAATAGAATTCGCTGAATTCGATATTTCGACTTCAAACGAAAGCGTACCACTTCGAAACTTCCAATGATTCCTGGAGGAATTGCTTAGAATACCGTCTTGGAATATAAAAGATGGTCTGGAAGAGGTTTCATCTGCTCATCAAAATGTCTGTTGTCTGAATCCCATAAACGAATGCAATTCTACCAACTCACATCTCCATGTTGCCTGACCAGCCGATCCCGTTAGTGGAGTCTTTCGACAAGTACAGGTTGCTGAAGATCAAATCACATCCGGGTTGTCACGGTTACTTATTCATGCGTATCAGAGCATATTTGTATAATGTTAAAGGCCAAAGATTAACTCCATCCTATACGGTAGCGATCTGAGGGTTCTGACTTTAAAGAGTTGAGGTGGTTTCTTGCCTGTCTGACTGACTGACTGACTGAGTTTGGTTTTACGCCGCTTTTAGCAATATTCCAGCAACATCACGGCGGGGGACACCAGAAATGGGCTTCACACAATGTACCCATGTGGGGATTCGAACCCGGGTCTTCGGCGTGACGAGCCAACGCTTTAACCACTAGGCTACCCCACCGCCCCTTTCCTGTCTGAAGATGCATTGATAATAGCGCAGAAGAGAGGGTCAATATGAACAAGTAGCATGTCGTTTGGATGTTGGGATAACCTTAGTTTTGTTACAGAGAGGTGGTACAAACAGGTAGCATACAGTTGGGGCTGTGGGATATCGGAGTTTGAGGATATAGGGTAATATGAATATGTGCATACAGGTAGAATTGTTGGATACTCGTAGTCTGGGGACAGAGGGTGAATATGAACCTGTGACATGTCGATTGAGGTGTCCCCGGATCCCCCAAAATACTTCCACCGCGACATCGAGATCTGCCACAAACGGCCTCATATAGGAATACTCGACTATTCGACAATAAACATCCCCATCACCCTCAAACCTGCTCGGACTGTGGGATAACGTATTCGAGTGGTAGAAGTGTTAACATGAACATGTAACATATGTTATATTTGGGATTACATTTTCTTAGTAAAGTACAGATTCTAGTACTTTTTGGGTTGAGTCCCATCCGGGATTCGAACCCACACCCTCAAAAGTCAGGCACCTAATCGCCAGCACACAAAGTCAGACGCCTAGACCGCTCAGCCACCGAGGCTTCCACAAAAATGGAAGTCGGACAACTGGTAGTCTAGACTGTGGACTTTGTGTACCCCTCTGATAAGTGTTAATTGGCACGGCTCCCACTGCCGAAAGCTATGAAATACACAATGCCATTTTAGAAAGTGGTCAAATGTAACATATGTTATATTTAATATAACATATGTTACATTTGACCACTTTCTAAAATGGCATTGTGTATTTCATGAACATGCTGCTTATAGCTCGAACTGAGGTTTCCTCAGAGAAGAACAGAAGATAAATTAAGAAAGGGGGCATGGATGAAGCTTCCTTTGACCTAGTGAGTGAGTTGGGTTTTACGCCGCTTTTACCAATATTACTGCAATATCACCATATGTTCACGTTAATGTATTTTTAATTTTGTCATATGAACAAAGGACTGGCCGTTCATTGTGTTCGTAACGATAGACACCCGTCGGTCAGGGGGTGCCAACATTTAAGAACACCTGGTGTCATCACTGATTAGAAATTATTCCTAAACAGATAAGAGTGAGTGAGTTGGGTTTTACGCCGCTTTTAGCAATATTCCAGCAATATCACAGCAGGGGACACCAGAAATAGGCTTCACACATTGTGCCCATGTGGGGAATCGAGCCCTGGGCTTCGGCAGGCCGCGCGAAGGCTTTTAGCCACTAGGCTACCCCACCGCCCCTCTTTGAGATGAACAGTAGATAAGTTAAGAAGGGGAGACACGCGTGAAGCTTCATTTGAACTAAGAACGTGGTCCTCTTTGTTGAGGTATAGTGAATTAACAGACCTTTATGAACCAACACTGCTGGTTCGCTTGTTTCGTTAGTGGTATTGACCCCATTCTTCTGGAAATGAAACCGATGGGACATCTCATCAAACTGATACGAGAAAAATATGCCAGTAACTTAAATGCCCAAATTAAGTGGAAATTGCTCCTCCGCTGAGAAAGCCTTCAATTAGGACCCCGCTCTTGTGCGGAGGGCTGATGCTTTCGTGGGCTGCTGCATGCTTTGTCTACCAATACCGTGTTCATTCCGTATTCAGGCAGTCCACATCGGACCGTTCGTTAATCAGACAGTTCTCCCCACGCCGGCTCCGTAACATCCTGCCACGCGTGTTCCGTGACCTTATAGGTGTTGATATGCTTGTTCCGTAACCCGTCAGTTCTTGCCACGCATTTTCCGTGACTCGACAGATATAGTTAGGTGTTTACTCTTGACACTTAGCCGTTTCCGTAGCCTGAAGGTTCTTGCTGTCTTGGCATTTGTCAACCCTAACAACTTATATGGTGAGCTGAAACACAACAACCTGTGTTGATGAACTAGAGCATGACATTCCGTGATGTTGAAGTACAGCATGACAGCCAATGGTGTTGAACTACGGAATGATAACCTATGTTGTTAAACTACAAAAGACAAAAAATGTTGTTAAACAATTTATGTTGTTGAACAACAGAATGACGACTTGTGTTGTTGAATAACAGAATGGCAACCTGTGTTGTTGAACTACAGAAAGACAACCTATGCTGTTGAACTACAGAATGACAACCTGTGTTGTTGAACAACAGAATTACAACCAAAGCTGATGAACAACAGAATGACAACCTATGTTGTTGAACTACAGAATGACAACCTATATTGTTGAACAACAGAATGACAACCTATGTTGATGAACTACAGAATGACAACCTATGACAACCTATTGTTGAACAACAGAATGACAACCTATGTTGTTGAACCTATGTTGTTGAACTACAGAATGACAACCTATGTTGTTGAACTACAGAATGACAACCTATGTTGTTGAACAACAGAATGACAACCTATGTTGTTGAACTACAGAATGACAACCTATGTTGTTGAACTACAGAATGACAACCTATGTTGTTGAACTACAGAATGACAACCTATGTTGTTGAACTACAGAATGACAACCTATGTTGTTGAACAACAGAATGACAACCTATGCTGTTGAACAACAGAATGACAACCTATGTTGTTGTTGATGCTGTTACAGAATGACAACCTATGCTGTTGAACAGAATAACAATCCGTGTTGATGAACAACAGAATGACCACCTATGCTGTTGAACAACAGAATGACAACCTATGATGTTGAACAACAGAATGACAACCTATGTTGTTGAACTACAGAATGACCACCTATGTTGTTGAGCTGCATCATGGCAAGTCAAGTCGTGACACCTAATGAAGGCAACCTATATCGTGTACCATTCGCTGTCGTAGGCCAACGACTAACCGCAGTCGACCAAGTCACAAAACCTGACATTGGAAGCCTTGGGAATGATCATCTCAAATCGACTTATGTCGAAAATCGAGGTGTGTGGTCTTGCGGCTGCCTGGTTAAGACATCTGATCCAAAGGTCGAGGACAGGCGTCTCATAGTAACGAGAACAAAGTTAGACGCGAGATTTCAGATACAGAACAATCTAACAGATAGAAAGTAGATGCCTTGTTGCAGCTAAATGACAATTCCCTAGGCCAGAGTAAGACGTGAGTGGCATGCTAACAATTCCCCATCTCCAACTCTGACGCGACTTCACCACAACTGAATTAGGTAAATATAAAATGAATGATAGAAGACTCTAGGTATATATCATGTGGTAGCTGAATATCAGACACGGTTTCAAAGTCATGTTTGGCAGCGAATGCAGGAAATGACGGTTAAACCATGAACATTATACCATGGATTACGGGTAAATGACGTGCGCCAGCTACGTGCGTTATAGAAGTCAGTATTAAGCCCTTGGTCTCCAACTGCCAGACGAAACCGGCGAGATGGGTAGAGGGTCAATGTCTTCGCTGGAAGCCAATTCAATCATTGAGGTTACCAGCCCTAAACCGACAAGGGAGATGTCCAAACACAGTTCACATCTTTTAATTACAGAAATCTTGTCTTTACTACTTCAAAGATGTTTGTGTGATGAGAGTGCCTGGACTTGATCCGATCCTATCAGCTTGGCTCTTCAATCATCACATAAAGGGACTCGCTTCCACAGCCCGGTAGTCGAGTAAATCAGCCCCGATGACCACACCAACACTGTATAACATTCTCATTCCGAGATCGATCAGCTAATATCGCTTTGGATATTTCATGATTTTGACAGAGGTAACCACATTTGCTGTGCAAATCTACCAGAAAATTGAATTATGTAGGAATACTAATATTCGCGACTGTGTCAGCGAGATAACAATCAACTCTACATTGATCGCCACCAAGCAGCACCATCTTGGAAACCGGTCCTGTCCACTGAGATCCTGGAGCTTAAGCTACTGGAAGAGGGAGCGAGGCTGCAAGATGTTGATCCCATGAGTGGATAAAGGAGACTTTACGTCACATCCAGCGACATTACAACTATATCTGGGTGGCCTAGAATAAGAAATATTGCATCCGCTGAGATCCTTACTCAGCAATATAAAAGCTATATGCTGACAATAAAACAATAAAAAACGTTTGACACTTTATTCGTCATAAAAATCGCAATCTTAGAATATTTTCAATCCGCGATATTCCCTTTTTAAAACATGGTCAGCACATGTGCGTTTCTTTTCGTTTTCGAAAGAGTAGATTCTAGTCACGTTATCGTGAAGAATATTTGTTATAAAGGCTATCACTGCTTTCGAGGCCAACAGAGTACGATATATCAAGTGTTTATTATTTTAAACAAAAGAGAACTGAAAAGTGTATAGGTTTAGTAATCATATTAGGTATGTTATTATTCTTTTTTTAAATTTACTTTAAATATAACCTCTAAAAATCAGGGTTAGATTTTTCAATGACATTGTATTGTAGTTCATCTGAATAATGTCGCATACGAGGACATGATTAGAACTGATCTTCAGCTACCAATGCTTGTCAAAAGGGGAAACTAATGGGTTCGGGTAGTCTTCCTCAATGACTAGGTTGCTACGTGTCATCCTATCCAGCCGCCATATACCTGGAATATTGCTGAGTGCGGCGTAAAACTAAACTCACTCACTCACTCATCCTATCCAAATTGCATATATCGATACAGACTTCCGTGCCCCAGTTCGACAAGTCATTTAAGTATTGTTATGAAATATTCTATTTCTAATATTTAAAGTTTGATTAAACTTTAATTAAATGCTGATACTTGTCTAAAATGACCGAGAAAGTCTTCGTGAAGACTTCTCTGACTCATATTTTGACTGTCCTGAGCTGTAAATCGTGACTGGGTTAATGCTTTAGTCATATATTTACATACTGAGACATAACTCACGCCCACAGACCTTTTCCTTCCTAAATATTGTTATAAACTTAATAGGTCTCAATCTCTAGTTCCGCCTTATTGCCAGACCGACTCCTCTGCATAGCGGTTGGGGATCTGTCCGGAGAGAAAAAAATCTGTGGTTTCACCGCGTAATACCCATTTAACATGGTACTTGTTGTTTCCCTGCCTGCTGGCTTTCGCCATTATGTAGATCTTACAAGGAATGGTGAGCTTGGAGTCAGTGTTATGTACCTCATGCGGTATTCATGTTAAAATATGGCTAAAACAGACTAGCACAGACAACCACCCGTGAAGATCCGGGTTAGAATTGATCTTCAGCAACCTATGCTTGTCGTAAGAGGTGACTAACAGGACCGGGTGGTCAGGCTAACTGACGTGACTGGCACATGGCATTGTATCCCAACTGCGTAGAACGATGCTCACGATGCTGATCACTGGATTGTCTGGTCTGGAATATGGCTGGGTGCGGCGCTAAACAATAAACAAACAAACAAACAACGACAAACAGCCACTCACGCACATATACCTACGTCGCTGTATAAACACGACGTTAAAGCAACGTGACGTTAAACCCCCCTCACCTCACACCATTGCAGCATCGTAGAAAAAGCTCTGCCGTCCAGCTGAAATAAGCCTATTGCAAAAAGTCTATTTCAAAACATTTCCCTTTTCAATAATATTGAAAGTTGTAATTCATCTGAATAATGGATACCATATGCAAGGACGTGATGTATATAAATGTGGTGGTTCCATGATTCTTGCCGCAAGACCAGGAAACTCCATATTCATAAATGCATAAATAAACGAATGCGATTTTTACGAGACATTATTTTGCACGAACCTGTATTCTGTGAGGTAACCACAAGCGGACAACCACGTTTCCATGGAAACCCCTGGACATTCTCTCGTATGAATAAATAGAAAGTCGTTCATTCCGATCGTTTAAACACTTTAATCTTGAACTGTTTTGCATACATTTGAAAAGGTCAGAATGCATGTCGCCTGATTAAATATTCTAGTTACGATCCATTCCAGTATAGAAAATGCACAATAAATAGACTGGGACAACATTTTGCGAATAATCGATAAATTTACCTCAGAGCCTTCTGGGTACATTAACAATCACGTTTATTTGATTGGCCAAATTATCTATGATGACAAACATTACTCATCACATAATCATTGACTTTAATATATTGCCAGTCACGTTGATAAAGTCGGCCATTTTGCCGCCATTAGGAACGTGTTTTACGACATACCGTAAATGTGGCTGGGATAGTTCTTAACAGACAACTAACGATGTTAATATTAAAATATATCTGTTGTTACTGTAGCTCATGATTGGAATCCATACATCTCCATCACTGTTGGGAGACCTGTGAAGACTGGAGTTAGAATTGGTCCTCGGCAACCCATGCTTGTTGTAAGAGGCGATCTGGTGGTCAGGCTCGCTGATTTGTTTGACACATGTCATCGTATCCCAATTGCGTAGATCGATGCTCATGCTGCATTGTCTGGTCCAGACTCAATTGTTTACAGACCGCCGCAATGTAGCTGGAATATTGCTGAGTGCGGCGTAAACAACCAACCAACCATTTCTGGAAACTATGTTTCCCGACGATACAACTGATTGTTGCGTATTGTCTATGTAAACATTTGCACACGTGGCAAATGAAATTAAATACACATCTTTCGATTGTTGCAAAATATTGATACGAAAATAACAATGGATTTGATTTTGTGTAAGCGAATGGCCGCGCCTCAGAGAACTGAGCCAAACTATGGAGGTATGTACATACGTTGGCTCTCTTCAAGAAAAAAACGACTCATAAAAACAATTACAGAGTGGTTGCTCAAAGCCATACATTTGAAAGCAGAAAGGCCATTCATCTTCGTTACACGGTTGAAATATATTGCCTTTACGACGTTAATTTAAACCCTCATTTAATCTCCTATCGACCTATTTCAAAATCGTCAGCCTTAATGTTTCCATGTTGTTTGAAGGAAATATATGGCTTTCTATCTTGTTTCAGCCGATCCACTGGACTTTGACGATGGCCCATTCGGGAGTGTTCTTTGGCGGGTAAGAAGCAAATTTATTCGTTAGAAGATGACAACACGTTAATCTTACTCCTGAATCTGCGCTCTCATTAATACATCAATATGTAGAAGATGAAGCGTACGAAAAGTCAGGGCCTTCATCATAAATCGTTTCGTGATCGTCTCCCAGACCGCCATGACATCCCGGGGGCAGACTGACCGCACGTATCAACTGTCTCCTGCATTTAGAAATCCCGTCTCCAACACCTCCGTGATGTCGCTCACTCTGCTCATGCCTCAGATAAAGTCGTTATCATCTTGTCCCTCCTGATCCTACTTCCCCCCCCCCCCTTCCCCACTGCATGGCTACCCCCACACAAGGACGTCCGGTTGTCTAATTACAACGAAATCAACCTCTGTCACATTCACAATTAGGTTTGTTTCGTCAACTCTGATTCACAGTTCATCTTTAATTCTCTTGTAATTAATAACGCTGGGAGACAGGTTTCCAGAGCTCCATACCGTGTCACCAATTAGTTACGTAAAACGTCGTATTTCGTTTCTGCTATTAGATCGGGGATTCTGCGTACAGCCGGAAGATTTATGTTCCCACCGGCGTCGACTTACAAGCTCCGCACAGCGCAGTCCACGGTCACCGCTGCCGGACGCAATTAATATATCTGTTCTAACATACCTTTCCGCTGTCTTGAAAGTAATTGTCGCGAGAAGGTACATCTTCTGCGATAGCAGCACAACTACCACGTTCTTGGTTATCAGCTTATTGTTAGTCAGAGCCAACGTTAACGTATCGGGTAATGTATCTGAATAAGCGGCCATATTCTGACGTTAACGGCAGACTGGTTGTCACAATAATGGCGGCTGCGTGGTCTAGGAAAGGTGAATCTTGTTGCTGGATCAGACACGAGTGATTATATAACCCAGAATGTTGTCTGAACGTGGACGACCGAGGCTTGGTTCCTGGGGTGATCAAAGCAATACATCTTATAACACGGAAGTCTTCCATACAGGCGTATTGGAGCACAATGCATAACAAGACTTGTATCGTTACTGCTGTGAGAAATACGAACCTGGACATTCCGTTCATCAGCTTACTGCAACACACGTGTTTGGTTGAATAGGTGAATATTGTACAACTCTCTAACTATTGTATTGATGAGTAAATAATCAACCTTAAGTAATTCTTAGATGCAGAGATCAATTTACAGACCATTTACATAAAAGTGAGTGATCAGTGAGTATGAATTTACCCCGATTTTAGCAATAGCCTATTCCAGCAATATCAGGGTGGGGGACATCAGAAATGGGCACACAGTGTACCCATGCTTGTGGGAATCGAACCCGGGTCTTCGGCGTGACGAGCGAACGCTTTAACCACTAGACTAACATACAGATCATATATCTAACATACAGATTATATATCTAACATACAGATAATATATCTAACATACAGATTATATATCTAACATACAGATCATATATCTAACATACAGATTATATATCTAACATACAGATCGTATATCTAACATACAGATCATATATCTAACATACAGATTATATATCTAACATACAGATCATATATCTAACATACAGATCATACAGATCATATATCTAACATACAGATTATATATCTAACATACAGATCATATATCTAACATATAGATTATATATCTAACATACAGATCATATATCTAACATACAGATTATATATCTAACATACAGATCATATATCTAACATACAGATCATATATCTAACATACAGATTATATATCTAACATACAGATCATATATCTAACATACAGATCATATATCTAACATACAGATCATATATCTAACATACAGATTATATATCTAACATACACACATATCAATTTACAGATCGTATATCAAGCATACAGAAGTCATTTTACAGATCATATATCTAACATACAGATTATACATCTAACATACAGATTATATATCTAACATACACACATATCAATTTACAGATCGTATATCAAGCATACAGAAATCATTTTACAGATCATATATCTAACATACAGATTATATATCTAACATACAGACTATATATCTAACATACATATTATATCTAACATACACACATATCAGTTTACAGATCGTATATCAAGCATACAGAAGTCATTTTACAGATCATATATCTAACGGATCATATATCTAACATACAGATTATATATCTAACATACACACATATCAATTTACAGATCGTAAATCAAGCATACAGAAGTCATTTTACAGATCATATATCTAACGGATCATATATCTAACATACAGGTTATATATCTAATATACACACATATCAATTTACAGATCGTATATCAAGCATACAGAAGTCATTTTACAGATCATATATCTAACGGATCATATATCTAACAGACAGATTATATATCTAACATACACACATATCAATTAACAGATCGTATATCAAGCATACAGAAGACATTTTACAGATCATATATTTAACATACAGATTATATATCTAACATACAGATTATATATCTAACATCTCTGTCATGCTACCCGTGAGGATCCGGATTAGAATTGATCTTAAGTAACCCATGCTTGTCGGGTGGTCAGGCTCGCTGACTTGGTTGACACATGTCATTGTATCCCAATTGCGTAAATCGATGCTCATGCTGTTGATCACTGGATTGTCTGGTCCAGACTCGATTATTTACAGACCGCCGCCATATTGCCTGAATATTGCCGAGTGCGCGTTAAACAACCAACCAATCCTTTCATACAAACCACGAATCCCGCTTTGATCACAGACACTTTCAAAGGGTAGATTTAATTACCCGCAACCCACTATGCAAATCTTAGTTCCAATATTCCGGCCACAGATCAAACATTTAGATATCGACCCGTTATATTCACAAAGATCCAAGATTTAGACATGATAGAATCAACATATTGAGATAAAGCTCATGCAGCTCACAGATTCAATTTAACACGGTTCTATACACGTGAATCAGATCATGCTGTTGAAAGTAGATCTGGCATGAAGACTGATGTTCTTACTGCAGCATCACCTGCTACTACGTCTACCATGACACTGTTATCCATGGCGACGTTACCCGCAGATGTAGGCCGCTGCCATCTACGACATAATCAGTTTTAGAAGGGAAACAGTGAGGCCCCCAACTGTTGCTACTGCATCATTACGACGTTGTCGTATTAGATTTCTGTAGCACATCTATAAGTGCTCTTCTCCCGAGTAGGTCCTCTTTACCCTGATGTTGTCGTTCATTAGTGATTTCATTTCCTTTAGGACAAGAAATACTTGGTGAGCGTTCTCATCCCGATCGGAGTGGGGATAACTGGAGCCATGCTCATTATAGTCACAGCTTACGCTACACGGGTGTGTCGCAGGAGGAAGGTGGCGGAGAGGAACCCGAGGACGTTGTTACAGGTAAATGCAGGTGTCAGACACAAGAGGATATTGTTACAGGTAAATACAAGTGTCTGACAGAAAAGGACGTTGTTTCAGGTAAATAAGGTGACTGACACAAGGGGATATTGTTACAAATAAATACAGGTGGCTGACACAAAAGGACTTTGTTACAGGTAAATACAGCTGACCGACACAAGGGGGCATTGTTACAGGTAAATACAGGTGTCTGACACAAGAGGACTTTGTTTCGGGTAAATACAAGTGATTTGCCAAAGGGAACATTGTTACAGGTAAATACAGGTGACATCAACAAGAGGATACTGTCACAGGTAACTAATGGTTTCTGGCTCAAGAGGGAGTTGTTTCAGACTTACCAAAGGGAACATTGTTACAGGTAAATACAGGTGTCTGACACAAGAAGACGTTGTTTCAGGTAAATAAGGTGACTGACTCAAGAGGACATTGTTACAGGTAAATACAGGTGACTGATACAAGAGGATGTTGTTACAGGTAAATGCAGGTGACTTACAAAAAGGGACATTGTTTTTGGTAAAAGCTGGTACCAACCACAGGGGGACATTGTCTCCGGTAAATTCAAGTGACACATGGGAACAGTGATACGGGTAAATACAAATGTCTGACTCTAGGAGGAACTGTTTCAGGCAAATACAAAAACACTTACCAAATAGGACATCGTTACATTGAAATGCAGGTAACAAGTTCGGGGGGACACTGTGGCAGGTAAATGCAGGTGACTATCAAATGGAACAGTACGTATGATAAATACAGGTATCTGACACAAGAGGACATTGTTTCGGGTAAATAAGGTGACTTACACAAGGGGGTATTGTTACAGATAAATACAGGTGTCTGACACAAGAGGATACTGTTACAGGTAAATACAGGTGTCTGACACAAGAGGATACTGTTACAGGTAAATACAGGTGTCTGACACAAGAGGATACTGTTACAGGTAAATACAGGTGTCCGACACAAGAGGACATTTTTACAGGTAAATACAGGTGACTTATAAAGGGACATTGTTATTGGTAAATGCTGGTACCAACCACAAAGGGACATTGTCTCAGGTAAATACAGGTGACACAGTGTTACGGGTAAATACAAATGTCTGACCACACAGGACATCGTAACAGTTCAATGCAGGTAACAGGTTCGAGGGGACATTATTGTAGGTAAATACAGGTGTCTGACACAAAAGAAATAAATTACAGGTAAATACTGGTGACTGTTACGATGGGCTGTACATGTGTGGACGACACATAGTCTGCTTCATAGCCCCTGGCATTGAAAGTTTCACCTTGAATAGCATTTAGCTCCTATGCTGAGTCAACGATGAAAGATATGTTTGGGCCTCCCAGTTTTCTTGTTGCAAAACTAGCATGTCTGAAACTCGAACACTGCTGACGTGTTTCAAAACTAAGATATCGTTTCAAACAAAATCTGGAGGCGACATTGTGTGATTGGATTTGTATCACATAGGTGGAGCACTACTGTCTGATGTAAGGCAATGGACACATGCTGAATGGCGAGTGTAACAGGTAGGGGTGGGAATGGTTAACCTTTTCGCGAACACCGGGTGTCATTTTCAGTGATCCCATCATACAATGTTTACCGCTATTTTGCTGTTACCCCCAATTAAAAATCTGCTTGGTGGGATAATCGAGATTTTATATTTTTATAATGAGATGGTTAATTTGAAAAATATTTTTAATTGGCAATTAAAATGACTGGTTTGAAGTGACGCGCCGTGAAGAAACATTTTGTTTTCTATTCTAGCCTTACATTGTTTTAACGCATGCATGAATGCAGAACCAACAATGGCGTAAAAAGTACATAAACTTGATTTGTATTGCCTGTGACATGAAAGCATATAAATGTCACAATTATCATCTTATATTGCCCAATACATATTGACCAAACCTAGAGAGGCGTCACGCAGTCCCATCTGAGTAGCTTAAGGCGATATATTTAATAAAAGAAAAAAAGTCGTATAGAGCTAGAGGGTTATTAATAAGATAGTGTGTGTCATTTCATTAGGGAGACCAGCTGTATGAATACCCCGACGGGATGGGAAGCGGTAAAAGTGGCACCACCTGAACTTGGATGAAAAGTAAAACACAGGCGTATAGTTCTCGAGGAGGGGCGAAGGGGAGATAGTTCGCTAACACCTGGTGTCATCACCATCACCCATTCATATAACCAACCTTTCTGTCTGTCTGTCTGTCTCTCTCTCTCTATCACTCTCTCTCTCTGTGTCTGTCTGTCTGTCTCTCTCTCTCTCTCTTTCTCTGTCTGTCTGTCTGTCTCTCTCTCTGTCTGTCTGTCTGTCTCTCTCTCTCTCTCTCTCTCTCTCTCTCTCTCTCTCTCTCTGTCTTTCTGTCTGTCTCTCTCTCTCTGTGTCTGTCTGTCTCTCTCTCTCTCTCTCTCTCTCCCTCCCTCCCGAGCGAGAGTTTGTGTATACATGTGTAGGAGGGGGGAGGGAGGGATAGATAGATAGATAGGTAGGTAGATAGACAAAGAGAGAGATGAGAGAGAATCAGATAGATAGATAGACAGAGAGTTTGTGTAAGAGAGAGAGGGAGAGAGCAAGCATGTGTGTGTGAGAGAGTATGTGCGTGCGAGAGAGACAGACAGACAGAAAGAGAAAGAGAGAATGAGCGAGACTTTACGAGTGTTTAACATTTGCTACAATAAACAGTCATCAAAATATTACCCTTGAACAACTTTCCTTGACATTTAAATGTCAAATACCAAAGTCGCGGTAAGGATTATTGTGCAACAGAATGCTTACAAATTGTTCTCCTTCTTAGACAAGTTGAAATGTTTTTAAAAAAATACTTCAACTCGTCTTTTTATTTGCGATTGTTTGAGGTTGAAGTGTCTGTCGAGTAAAGTAACAGCCAACAACAGCACTCTTCCTCAAGTGCGTGGACATGTTGAAGCATTATTGACTAGTTTGAGACTTCCTTCGACGTGTGTTTTGACGCAAAACATTAGTCGAGAATAAAAGACGTTAAACCGTCCACATAGATCGTCCGCACAGTTATTTCATGACAAAGTAGCGCCTAAAGGATGTTTGATTTCCGTAAGACTCGACTAATATGAAGATCAGATGTGCCCAAACAGATTGTATGTCAGCCTACAAAGATAGCGTGTATCGTTGCAATGCTAATCCTGGCTATGCTCATCTCATTTCAATATCAATTAGGTACATTTCTGCTGACTATGACATAAAAAGAAATATTGATGTAATTGGAAAGAGAAACTACAAATGTTTTTGTCGTAAGCTAAAAGCAGAGCTGAAGTAATTAAATCATTTTTACAGAGAGTTACCAAGTGGGATATATATTGTCATATTCCGAGAGGCGGTGGGGTAGCCTAGTGGTTAAAGCGTTGGCTCGTCACGTCGAAGACCCGGGTTCGATTCCCCACATGGGCACAATGTGTGAAGCCCATTTCTTGTGTCCCCCGCCGTGATATTGCTGGAATATTGCTAAAAGCGGCGTAAAACTAAACTCAGTCAGTCAGTCATATTCCGATCTGTACGTTTACATTTACAATCTTATTCCGAATTTGATCTTCTGCATACTCTGAAAAAAACTATTTCAGATGGATGCGATGTCAACTGTCTTTTCTCATTGACGTCACGTCCAGTTTATTTTATAAAATACAACAAGATATCGCAAATGTTTCAACTCAAAGCAGATGGAATTCCCCGAACGCTTACTCTTGACTTTTCATGTTTGAAAGTTGACAAATAGAATATAAATTTTCAGTAATTATCAAACATGGAATGCGTTATCCAGCCTTCTGGTGTCTTTTACGTTTGACGCTAAAGGACAAGAAAACTGTCGAAATATAAACTTAACGGGATTTCGATCTATTCATACGCCATAATTCACAATTACATCTTTGGTTCCAAAGTAAAGAACACGAAGGAGAGGTTTAGATAATCAATATGGAATTCGGAGACCGCTGAAGGCAACCACAGAAACTGTTTATCGCATGTCAAAGGCAAATGTATTAGTGAAACTGTCACTTTGCTGTTGTGTTTTTGGCCCTAATCTCCCTAATCGACGTCAAGCGGTATTGCTATGTGTATGTGAATTCCTAGTGGTGTATTGATTAATCACTGTTTAAGTATCGGCATCAAGTGAGTGATCGAATGTTGTTTAATGCAGCAATCAGCAATATGTCAGTTGTCCCTGCGGCAAGTGGTTGAATCAAATTAGCGGAGTTAGTTCGGAGTAACTTTTCTTGTCGTCGTATGACGACGCGTTATCTCCGAATTTTGGCTCCCAAACACTGTAGTCGAGGTACGATGCCGCACAATCCCCGAGTTTGGCCTCTGAAACACTGTAGTCGAGCTACGATGACGCATAATCCCTGGGTCTGGCCTCCCAAACACTGTAGTCGAGGTACGATAACGCAAAATCCCCGAGTCTGGCCTCCCAGACACTGTAGTCACGATGACGCGCAATCCCGAGTATGGCCTCCAAAAACTGTAGTCGAGGTACGATGACGCGCAATCCCCGAGTATGGCCTCCAAACACTGTAGTCGAGGTACGATGACGCACAACCCCGAGTCTGGCCTCCCAAACACTGTAGTCGAGGTACGATAACGCGCAATCCCGGGTCTGGCCTATAAACACTGTAGTCGAGGTACGATGAAGCGCAATCCCCGAGTATGGCCTCCAAACACTGTAGTCGAGGTACGATGACGCACAACCCCGAGTCTGGCCTCCCAAACACTGTAGTCGAGGTACGATAACGCGCAATCCCGGGTCTGGCCTATAAACACTGTAGTCGATGTACGATAACGTGCAATCCCGGGTATGGCCTCCAAACACTGTAGTCGAGGTACGATGACGCGCAATCCCGGGTATGGCCTCCAAACACTGTAGTCGAGGTACGATGACGCACAACCCCGAGTCTGGCCTCCCAGACACTGTAGTCGAAGTACGATGACGCGCAATCCCGGGGATGACCTCCTAAAC